ATATTGTATTATGCCCCTTAATTACCTCAAGAAGGTTATGTTCTCACCCCTGTCCATTTGGCTGCTGGTTTGTTTATTTGTAAACAGGACTATGCATGAATTATTGGATGGACTACAATGCAACTTGGTGGAAGGATGCGATAAGCATCAGGAAAGAACCTTCTAGATTTTGGTTTGGATCGATTGCGAGATAAGATTTTTTTTCAACATTTTTGCTAATTTATCTTGATGAGGGGACAGACGTTTACCAGTGAGTGCAATTTGGTGCAGATCAAAATAAAAATCAGTATCTTGTGAATTTAAATGTGTTTTCATAAGGAGACTGTTGGGCCTTGTTGGAGGTAAAATCTCTTCTAAGCTCCATGTATGTTCTTCTTCTAGTTTAGATGTGGAACTATATAATGTGGTGCACCTTGCTTGCATGTAATGTGAGTGATGTTTAACATTGGTGGAGTGATATGATGTTGGTTATGAGGAGTTTAGATGTGTGGATTCAGACATTCAAAGTGTTTGGAGTTACTGTCCCCATGCTCACTGCCATACAGTACGTTATAGTTAAGCCCAGGAGAAACATTCGACCTCACACTATTTAAACACATTTAAAAGCTTAAAGTCTTATACAAGTCATTGTTTCTGGTATGGAGTATTGAGAGACATTCTGGTTTGTTTACCAGCTTCTCCACATCCCTTTTAAAGGCTTATCTCTGTCCAGTCTGTTTTACATACCTCCCACTCCCCCTCAGGTCACAGTGAACTGGAATCCACCTGAAAAGCCAGTGGCCATTTCCCCTGAAGTCTCCCTTCGTCAAGAGCACAGAGAGAAATTGACCAAACTTCCCTGTCTAAACCTTTCAAAGAAACGCCTTTCCTTCAAGCTTCCTCTCACCAAGGGAGGTGATTACATAAAAACTCAGTGTATGGTGACAGATTTACAGGAATTGTGCGACTTGTGCTTTACTCTGTATGATGACCTCAAGCATGACGATTTATTCTTTTGTCAACTGATCTTTCTATTTCACTTTAAATGGACCAAAAAATGAATGTCAAAAATAGGGATGTTTTAATTTTAAGCTTAAACTCTTAAACCTGATTTGTTCATCACTAGTTTGAAAATAACTGTTTTTAATTAGAATGTTTTACTTTAAATTCAAAATATGAACCTTTGGGGATTTTTTTGATTTGCCTCAAACATGGGGACAGTTGTGTTGACTCTACCTGCAATTTTAGTGAAGTTTGAAAGGAGAAGGAATTTTAAAACATGGAAATAAAGAGGGTATCATCACACATTTTGTAATCCAGCCCCACAGATGTCGGAATCGAACATGCTGACATCATTAACATGCAGGTAGAAACTCACAGAACACATACAAACACAGTAGAAACCTGAGAGCACCCTCTAAAACCAACACACTGAACTCTTGGGCGAACTATCCTTGGTTTGTCAGCTGATCAACTTTGGAGCAAATCATATTTTTCTGATTGTATCACTCCACAATATGATAATATCCTTGTTACAGTGAGGCTCCTGAATGCAAAGCTGTCTGGTAGATTGTTCTTTCCATTGAAATCTACCTGTGAGCAGACTGTCTGCTAAAAATAGCTCTCTATCTCTGACCAACAGGTGGCCACCAGGACAGCAGACAGACCTTAATGCACCAGTGCAGATGTGAGTTAGTAGATCAATGTTGTTAACTATAAAACTGTGGTTAGTTATATAAGCTCACCAGTCTGCCGGATCTCTCCTTGGCTTTCTTCACTTTGCCGTAGGTCCCTTTACCGAGCGTCTCCAGGAACTCGTACCTGTGCTTCAGGTTGTGTTTGTGGTGGTGCCTCTTCACCGCCTGCTTCTTCACCGACACCTGGCACGGTGCTCTGCCGGCGGCGGGGGTGTTCTCATCCGCCGAAACTCTGCCAAAGCTCGGCCTGCAGGCTGCAGGAGGACGGGCAGCGGTGGAGACTTCCATCCTGAGACCCGCCGTCAAATAAAAAAACAAGCTGTACTTAATTTCTATCGCAGGTTTCGTGGTTGAGCAGCATCCCCTCCGTCCTTCGTCCGCAGCCCGGTGTCTCAGCAGGTGCTGTTGGCGGAAGTTGGGTAGTTAACTACGGACTGAGTGCTGGAGAAGAACCGGGACGCTCTGTTGTGTTGTCCGTGCTGAGTGTGGGTATGACACGCTGAGAGGAGCGGGGCTCAGACACGGAGCAGACCGACACGTCTAATAGTCTGAGTGGGAGGAGAGAGGGAGGAGAGAGAGAGAGAGACACACACACA